GCCTGGAGGCTGCCTGGACGTGCCCAACTAGAAAGGGCCCAGGCCCTCAGCTGTCGGAGAGGGCCTGGACGCAGACACTGGGGTCCAACTGGAAGCTACTGGGAGCTTCGTCAGCCAGGCCCTCGCAACCAAGCAGAGGCCGCAATTTCCATATAGGAAGGTCGCAGGCCAGAGGCTGGCATTCTGGCCTAGGCAGGCAGTGCGGACACGCTGCTGCGTTGCTGCGCAAGTGTCTGCACGAGCGCTGCTGGCTGGGGCGCACGCGGGCGCTATGAGGTGAGAGGGGTGCTGCAGGGCAGCGGGCGCACGGGAGCCATAGACGGGCTGCAGGGGCGCATGCGGGTGATGGGCGAAGGTTGTCCTCGGGCAGTATGCGCATGAGTGGGTGGTCAAGGTCTGATGAGGGGAGGAGAGAGAACGTACCTGGTGTATGTGGGTGGTTAGGATTGGTGTTGACGTCATGTACAGGTCTTCAACGTCGATATGATCCTGTTGCGAGAACGTAGATAGGCTAGATAGGCTTAGTAGAGTAGGCTGGGCGCCGGGCGCCAGACAGAGAAGAGTGACATTGGATGCTGTGTTGGTGGGGCCTGAGGGCGATAATGTTGGCACACGAGTTCACTGTTTTGCTCCTATCTGGATGGAATCTTGGTGCATTTATGCTTTTTGCTTGGTACATGACTATCTGGACTTCTTCGTGATTTTGCAACTTGGTTTTCTGTCTATCGCTCTTGCTCATATTCCTTGCTAATTTGGTATCGGAACTGGTTCGATCGCCATTACCTGGCGCTGGTGACGTTGTTACTTGGTGCGCTGACGATGCTTCTACGCAGTAAGGGTACATTGGCACTGGCATGAGCAGACACTCCCGGGCAGAGGGGAGTTGGCCGGAAGGCTGTGGCACAGCGTGGGAGTTGTGGCGACAGCGGATGTATGTGTGATGATGAGAGCATGCTGATGAGAGCATGCTGATGAGAGCATGCTGATGAGAGCATGCTGATGTGGCATTTTGGCTGAGGTGGCACTGCATTGCGTTGTGGGTGGTACCGAGGCTATGACTGGTCATTGAAATGCACGCTGGCTCAATTGGTGAGAATTTGTGGTTGGGGGTAGCTATCTTCAGGTACGTTGTTCCCTTACCTTATCATCCCTCTCAATCTCTTCTTACTGCGAGGAAGTGAGTCCAACTTGAGTGTCCTCTTTTGGTTCAGGAGCAATGAGCACTCTACCTCGAGAGTCGACATTCTTCCTGGTGGCGCATCTGGCAGGAGAGGGCGGTGCTTCTGAAGGGCCTTGGTCGAAGCACGGGTCACGGTCACCATGCCAACCCATGGGAGTAGTACACGCAGGCCATGCTGCTTTGCTGCGCCAATAGAGGGAACGTGTACTGACCAGTCCTATGCAAGACGCTTACCAGACCGTCTATAAATATTTATGTTGGTGATCTGTTCTGAATACTGGTTGTGATCGTCGTCCTGTCCGTGATGTGTTAAATAATCCCTGAAGACCTTGGGGGCTGTCCTTAGACTGCCTCTTGATCAGCCAGATCAGTCGGATGGAAGGCTCATTGCACGCGAGGATAAACAAAGGGCAGTGCTGGTCATAAGCGAGTTCCTGGGCACAGGGGTGTGTCGTTAATGCACACCTTAGACACCGCTGATTGGTGATGCGGACAGGCACATTGGATACAGGGGGAGGAAGGTTTCAATTGGTGCTCAACTGTGTTCACAACTATTTCCATTGTGCATACATCTGTGCACATTTGATTTTATTTTGATTAGTTGGTGGACAGACTGCTAACGCCTAACAGACAACCTAGATTAGAACTAGAGTGTTCTACCATTGCCAGTTCTGTTCGATGCTTCTGTAATCAAAGTAGGATTAGATTATGTGCTCAGTCTGTGTATATGTTGCCGATACCGCTTGAACGGTAGCCTAGGTGACTTGCTGGATACTAATTTATTTTTATTTATTTTTTCAACCCGGTCAGACACGTGCAGTGGTAGGCCCCAGTGAGGGCACTAGTGCCGACAGTGTTCTACCTAGCTGATGAGCGGACCAGGCAGTGGTGAGGATAGATCTATAGGGAGAAGGGTGACACGTTAGGAGTCCCTTAGGATCCTAATCGTGCACCAAACTTTGCCACCTGGGGGAGAGAGGGCCATACGACGGGAAGTAGTAGCTGAACGTTTGCAGAGAGCTAGAGAAGCGAGTGCTTGCAGCGGCAACAGCCACTGCAGCAGCTATGGCTACTTCTGCTGCTTCCTCTAGTCAGCAGACATTAGGCATGCCGACCAGTTCACAGTCCACGTCCAGCAAGATGGTACCAAGCAGTTCTTCTAGTCAGATGGCGGGCTCGCAGTACAACTTGCCACCTCCACGCACAAGAGAGGTCATTGAACTCCAACAAGGAGAGTTGATCCGCTTACGGTTAGAGAAGGAACTTAGAGAAGCCACCCAAAGGGAAACAAAGATTGGAAAAAGGAAAGCCAGACTAGAGGATAGGAGGGCAGACAAAGCTGTTGTAGAAGGGTTAAGATGACGCGACAACACAAGCAAAATTCTCAAGGCGGGTCTACTGTCCGTGCATGCTTACATGGACAACACATTGGATGCTATCCAGGATACCCTTGACCAGATACTGTGACTCATGCAGGGGAAGGGAAAGACTTCACATCTCCAACAGGCGGACCTGGTTTCCGGTCACTAGTTTGTTCATCACAGATGACTTTCACATCTCTAACAAGCGGACCTGGTTTTCGGCCACAGTTTATCCATCACCGATCTCCTCACCGGTGATGATAGGCCCCTCTATGACTCAGTTTAGCAGTTCACCAAGCGGTACTTCAGCAGCAGCAGCACAAACTACTGCTTCTTCATCTCCAAGTCCAGCGACCAGGGCTACACAGCAGCCGGTCCCACCAGTGAGACACCAACAACCTTGGCACCCCAAGACTCCACTGAAACCACCCTCAACCTTCTCGGGTGATAAGAAGGATGAGGCTCTCGACACTTGGTTGAGAACGGTGCCAGTGTGGGTGAGGGCGAAAAGGACGTTGTTCGAGGAAGAGGTGATCACTGTCGCCTCGTATCTCGAGGGTTCGGCAGCCCGATGGCTAGATGGATTGGTAGCCTCAAAAGGATTCGGCAGGCGAATGAATGAGTGGGCTAAGACCCATACTTTAGAGAGCTTCATGGAGTTTGTAGAAACGCGATGGCACAACCCTCAGCAAGCCCAACAGGCCACCAACGCGTTGACCCGAATTGATACTAAAAGGTACAAGACCGCTCGAGAGCTTACATCTGTTGTGGAGCGTCTCATTATTGTCCCCAACGTGCACTACGATCCCCAGGCTTAATGACCATGTTCTTGAGATGTCTTCCCACATACGTCAAGAACTTGCTGGTCAACGAGGCCAGCATCGAATATCACACTTTGGACTCCTTTAGCAAGAAGGGCTTAGGCTTAGAGGCTAGGCTAGGAGGAGCAAAACGAGAACGAATAAGAGTCAACAACAGTGGAAGAAAAAAAAGTAGTCGATTGATGATGGTTGATTTCGATCTTGTCGACGAAACAAAGTTTGGAAGTGACGATAGTGCTGAGGGTAGCAACCTCAAATCTTTAGTAAAAGTTAAGGCAAATGGTAGCGACAAGGGCGGTCAACAGAAGAGTTAGGGGCAGACCCAAAACTCAAACAGGACTCCAGCTTGGGTGAGGGTGGGTCTGTATCAAGATGTGTGGCGAGACGGTTATTGGCGACGAGCTTGCATTAACTGCAGCGAATACGGTCATCAACAGTGAATACGACCAAAACTCAAATTTCTAATTAAAAAAACAAAAGTTGAAGGAGTACCGGTCACAAAGAAAATGATGAATGGTGAGAAAGAAGAACAGGTAATTATATGGAAATATCTTGATGGGAAAGTTCGCGAATTGGATGAACTGCATGAAAAATACGTAGTGGTGTTCAATTTTGCTCGCAACGGAGCAGACCTCATGCCAGATCATAGAAACAATTAAGAAAGAGATGAAACGTAAGGATGTTGGGGAACTTTTCTCTCTGCAAAACCTGGGGCGCAACAACATCATTGTGATCTTCAACAAAGAACACCATGCTCAGAGTGCAGCGGATCTGCAGTCAAGGAGCTGCAATGGATTTGTATGTACAAGAACTAGGTGGAAGAAGCAGACGGCGCAGAGATAGAACCCCACTTTTTCAGTCTCGTACCAACAGACTCTCATGAAGAAACACTTTTGGGTGCTATTCGATGGCATTCACCCAGGGTTCCATGGCCTAGTGGTAGACAGACTGGAATGGCAGTACACAACAAACATAATCCTTGAGTGGATTTTGCTGACGCCAGAATTCGTTGCTCCTTATTGTGGATCAATGACAACCCTGTTGGAAGTCAAGACAGATGACCCTTCGGTGTTTCCAGAGACCTGGGAACTGGAGATCGGACGCTGGGCCCGTTTCCCAGCAGGTGATTCTCCCCACCAATAGATGGAGCCTCTCCCCAGGTGTTAAAAAAAAAAAAAAAAAAAAAAAAAAACCTGGAAATCAAAGTATCAACCAACTCGCCAATCTGTTTCAGATGCAGAGCCCGTGGTCACTTGGGTTCAGACCTTCCCAAACACTTCACCCCAACATGCTTGTTGAAGTAGGGGATCCACCGGGCACTTGGTTCATCATCGACCCCAATTATGATGGTTGGGTATTCGATGATAACCTTGAGGACCCAAACTGGGTATGACACCATGCTGGTAAAAAACCAACCGTTGAAAAACCCTACATTTTCCCCCCTCCTGACAACAGATGGCAGAAGAAAGCGACAGGGAAACTGACTGGGAATCCAACGAAGATCAACACAAACCACTGATCGACTCTCGCGTGATCAGGGAAGAGAAAGCGAGAGAGGATCTGTTGTGGGATCTGGATTGAACAGGCAGAAAAACAGTACAACAAAGAACCAATGACCTTGTGTAAGATGCTCAAAAGGATGGAGCAAGAGGCTCTTCAGAGCCCACCCAAACCACAAGCTGGCAATAAAAGCACATTGGATGGAGAAGACACGTTGGGAAAGGCAGTGCTCAAAAGGATGGAGCAAGAGTCTCTTCAAAGTTTACCCAAACCACAAGCTGGCAATAAAAGCACATTGGATGGAGAAGACAAGTTGGGAAAGGCGGAAGTAGGTCTCAAAAGGAAAAAAACGATGGAATCAGGGAAAGGAATGGGAGAGGAACATCCCCCGGCAAAAGGACAGAATGAGACAGATTTTGAACCCGCAAGTGATGAAAATGACAGCAGGGACAACAAGGACAACGGAGAGTCTAGAGGAACAGCCTCAAACATGAGATCAGACAGTCGATCTGAATCCCAATGAACTCTCCAATGGCTAAGGGAGTACATCGAGAAGGCCAAAAAGGAAAGAGAGTGTGCTTTTGACATCAAAGCAGCATGCTTAAAACACATTGAGAGATCTTAGAAAGACGGAAAGAACGGCATAAAGGCATCAATCGCGGGCATTGAGAAATCGACCAACCAACATGACATTTTGAAAAAGGAAAAGGTTGACGAAGAAAAAGCGGAGGAATTTTTTGAGTACACAACTTTCAGATACGCAGAAAAACAAAGAGCAAGAGAGCAAGGGTTGACCGACAAGGACAAGACTGTCCTCAATACCAATGACTCGTTCCAGGACCTGCGTCCAAAGAAATGGAAGACGTCAAAAAATCAGAAAAAAAAGGAACCCTCCCCAGACTCGAAGTCCGTTCAAGAAGAGTACGAAGAAGAATCGACGCGCACAGCGCTGGAGAAAGAAGCTGTGGTGGTGGTGGCTCATACAGAATAGATGGTAAAGATGAACGCGGAATACACCCCATAATTCACGTCCTTCCAGCACATCGCTGATGGCAAGGCACCCATGTAGGGGCCTCATCCAAATCAGCAAGATTGACCCTAATGGACACTCGCCCACTGATTGCAACCAGGTATATCGAAAGGGAAGCTGAATGGTAGGTGGCTCCTGATGTGTCCTTCACGATCCCCTAGATTGAGGAAGGCCAGAACGTAGCCAAGATTCTTCAAGAGAAGGTAACAAAGGACTTCCCACTGGGTCTGTATGAAACAACTGATTCTTATAGCCTACCGGAAGCCAGCTCCTCACAAACTGATCACGACAAGCAACAAGACCACCAAATGGAGGAAGATCAGCATACCCCTGGTGCATTCTTCCCCGTGATTGCCAAAATGGCACTCAATACCAAACTCAAGAGCGGGATGATGTGGAGACCATGGAGGACAGTTTCGGCGATACCATACAGTGTGCTAGCAGGCCCAGGCATTCCAACGGAACTGTTGGCGACCTCAGTGGCCCAACTCCTGAGCGTGGGGACTGTATGTGGAGATAGCGATCTGGACTCGAGAGAATTCGCTATGGACGTGGACAGTTGCTACAAGAGCGATTGTTCCGAGGATGGCATGGAGGAATGGCAAGAAGAAGAGGAAGATAGCGGTTCAAAGCCGAATCTACACTGAGAGGATGGCATGGAGGAATGGCAAGAAGAAGAGGAAGATAGCAGTTCAAAGCCGAATCTACACTGAGACCAGGGAACCAGCATAAGTATTGGAGAATATAAGATGGATGACATAACAACAAAGACACAGCACACCACATCTGCCATGGAGGCAACCGACCATGGAGGACAGTTTTGGCGATACCATACGGTGTGCTAGCAGGCCCAGGCATTCCAGTGGAACTGTTGGCAGCCTCAGTTGTGACGGGCGTGAGGCTGAGGGAGAGCTGAGGGAGAGGAGAGAGAGAGGGAGAGAGGGAGAGAGTGAGAGCACACACCTACACTCACTCACTCGACACGACCGAGGGTCGGACACAGACACAGTGGCAAGGCACGAAGTCGGGGGGGATCATGACAGTGGGAGAGGAGAAGAAGAAGAAGAAGACGAAGATAAAAAAAAAGGAAGAAAAAGAGGAGGAAGAAGAAGGAGATGATGAAAAGAAGAAGACCAAGGTGAAAAGGAGAAGAAGAATCGAAGAAGAAGAAATAAAAAAAAGAAAAATTGTCGTCAATTACTTATCTGCGCGGGGTAGCAATGACGATGACGACGATGGCACGGCGTGGCGACGAGGACGATGGGCACGACGATGGTGACGTGGCACGACGACGACGATCGCGATGGTGACGATGATGACGTGGCACGACGACGACGATCGCGATGGTGACGATGATGACGTGGCACGACGATGACGATCGCGACGATGATGGTGATGGCGTGGCACGATGACGACGATCACGACGATGACGTGGCACGATGGCGACGATCACGACGATGATGTGGCACTATGACGGCGATCACGACGATGATGCTGATGATGGCCAGGTGATGGCGACGAAGCAGGGTGGGTCGGGCGGGTTCGAACCGCTCCGATACCAGAGTGACAGGCGTGAGGCTGAGGGAGAGCCGATGGAGAGGAGAGAGAGAGGGAGAGAGTGAGAGCACACACACACACTCACTCACTCGACACAACTGAGGGCCGGACGCAGACACAGTGGCAAGGCACAAAGTCGAAGTCTTGGATTCCGAATGCCGAAACAGCAAGTCCCACTGCGAGTACAAGTACAGCAACAGAGAACTGGTACGAGACTGGTCCCCGTACCATACGGAGAGCCGGTATAAGTACCGGTGACACGTACGGTACCAGGGGCATTTCTGCAAAGGCCCCGAGGGCAGAACTAAAAAATGTGGTATTTGAGAGTGGCGCCCGAATTGCAGCATGGCGCCAGTTATCCAAAATCCTACGGTACCAAAGGAGGGGTTTGGAAAAAGGGTGCCAGGCTGAAAACGGGATGCAGCCGAAACAGCAAAAAGATAGACCAGGGATCGAGCCCTGGCGGAGTCCGTAACATCAGTGGCCCAACTCCTGAGCGCGGGGACTTTATATGGAGATGGCGATCTGGACTCGAGAGCATTCGATATGGACCTGGATAGGTGCTATAGGAGCGATTGTTCTGAGGAGAGGATGACATGGAAGGAAGGCAAGAAGAAGAGGAAGATAGCGGTTCAAAGCTGAATCGAACCTCAGACCAGGGAACCAACGCAAGTATCGGAGAATAAAAGATGGATGACACGACAACAAAGACACAGCAGGACCCGTCAGATGACACCACATCTACTATGGAGGCAACCGACACAGATCCCTCCTAGACAACTCACCCTCATCATTTCGGACCCACTAACCTCTTGACACTCTAATGATAAATATCTTTAGGTACAAGGCAAATGCGAGGGAGGACAATGTGAACTGGAAGACCCAAGGAATAGTCATCAGAAGCTGAAACATTAATGGGCGGGGCAACATACTAGACAAAGAAGAGAAAATGAACAACATAATTGAAGGACTGACAGTTCACCCAAACAAACCGGAGGACATAATTCTGCTGCAAGAGACCCATCTCACTTCATCAACTGAACACAACAGAATCCGTAGAACTCTGACAAAGAAGCTAGGAGGGCTCAAGGACAAAATATGGTCATCCGATATGCATCGAGCACGAAGGGAACAACCATCCTTATACCCAAATCCTGCCGACTCTACACAACAGGCTCGGTAATGAACATGAAAGCTGACACATCAGACGAAAGATGGTGTCTCGTGGATCTACGATGGAAAGAAGAAAAATTTAGGATAATCAACCTCTATGCACCAAATAGCTCTTCAAAAAGATCCACATTTTATAGCATGCCTGAGTAATTTGATCCCCCCTATATCACCCTGCATCCTAGCAGGAGATTGGAACGCTACCCTGGACCCGGCCACCGACCGCATCTTTAGGTCAACGGCCAGCCAACCGACGCAAGAAGCAGAACCCATCCAGAAGTTGATGCTGTATCATAATCTGGTGGAGCCATACCGCACTCTGACCCGGGGGAAAGAGCCTTCACACTAGTTGAAAAAGAATCATGCTCAACACATGGCTTTCTCCTTCATAGATTACTTCCTGTTGTCAGAAATGCTAATGGGAACAGCCAAACACAGAGATCCTCCCCCTTCAGCCGTATATAGGCCTGGACCACAAACCCATCGAACTTACTCTCGGTTTCGAAGAAAGGATCCAATTTCCAAAAACTGAACATCTCTCTCCTACTAAGCCAAATTTTCCAAGCAGGAGTTCTGGACTGCTGGTAGAAGATGAGAGGTTGCTACCTCCCCAACCAAGACAGGTGGGAATGGTTTCAAGAAAGTTGCTCTGCCCTGTCACAGACGGTAGCTAAGATGTCAAGAAAACTGGCAAGCGAGAAAATAGAGGAAATTAGCACTGGAGACAGCCCTAAAGATTGTAGAGTCAAACTCAATTGACAGCGCCTCCTCCCCACTCTACACTAATATTTTCCATAAGTCGAGAGAAAAATTGTCCATGTACCGATGGTAGGAGTTCAAATAAGAGCAAAAATGAATGAATATGAGCTAAGCGAATCAATGTCAAAGCATTTCTTCGCAAGGATTAAAGCAAATGCAAGGTCCAATTCAATTGAAGGCCTGAAGACTCTTACCGACCCAGCACTAATGCGAAGGAACAGCGAAGGAATGGTAAACATAGCCAAGGAGTTCTATGAGGAGCTCTATCATACAAAGACCCCGACTCCTACCCCTCCCAGCACCAGAGAAGCTCGCACCAGAATGTTCCAATACCTAGACCCAACGATATCCCAAGAGCAAGCAGATGCTCTAGACAAGCCCATCACCTTGGAAGAGCTCCAATGCGCACTTGAAAGCATGAACAACAACAAAACGCAAGGTATTGATGGTTTAACAAAAGAATTTTGGGAAAAATTCTGGCCACTTTTGGAGGGCGACCTATTAAATTTCTACCAAGACAGTTGGCTCAAAGGCGGACTAGGGAATTTGTTGAGCAGCAGCATAGTTACACTACCATACAAGAAGGCTGAAAAAGAAGACTTAAGAAACTACAGACCTATCTCCTTACTCACACTGGCCTACAAAATCCTAGCCAAAGCCCTGACCTTCAGGATCCTCGACCTCACCGACAAGTGTTTCCATATAGACCAAACAAGCTTCATTCTGGGGAGAAACATTCTGGAAAATGAACTTACCCTCAACGAAGCAACCAATAAAGTATGAGACAAGAGGATCAACACTGCAATACTGTTTTTTTATTTTGAGAAGGCGTATGACCAAGTCAACTTGGTTTTTACAAATGCAAGAATGGAAAAAGAAGGGAGTTGGCCCGAATTTCAGAAAATGGGTACGTATCCTCTACAACGAAGCCATTGGCTGTGTACAAGTGAATGGCCTACGATCAGACTGTTACCCATTCTCTCGCTCAGTTCGCCAAGGAGATCCATTAGCCCCTCCAATCTTCTCATTTGTCATGGAAGCGATCGCCTCCTTCCTCCGGAAGGATCCCTCTATCCATATACTACCAGAAGTCAATGCAGGATCAGCCCATCATCTGAATTTTTCAACAGTAATAACGTTTGCAGACAACCTTACCGTCCTCATACGAGCCTCGGATTCATCTTTCATTGTGTTAGTCAGAGCTATGGAAGCCTTCAGAATTGCATCAAAAATGAAAATCAACTGGAAGAAGACAATTGGGTGGTGGGTGGGAGAAGAAGAACCCCCTCAGCTCCAAGGCCCAGAGGCAGCAATGACCTGGGAAACACCTGAGACACCCACACGATATCTGGGGATCCTGATGACAAAAGAGGGTCTTGCCCCCCAGATGGCCCATAACGTATTGACCAAACAAATCAACGAAACAGGCAGATGGGGCAATACCTTCGCGTCCCTACTCGGTCGCGCACTTACCATCAACACCTCTATCTTCTCGATGATGTGGTATATAGCCTCAGTCTGGGCGGTACCAGATAACACGATCAATGAACTAAACCGTAAAGCAAAAGCTTACCTGTGGTCAGGGGACCCCAATAAAACCAACTGTATCCCAAAGATAGCATGGCATTATATTACGAGAAAACCAAGCAAAGGGGGTCTGGGCATTATAGACCCCAAGCAGGAAACCAAAGCCCTCCACGTCAAATGGATTATCAAAATTCTTACTAAATCGGGCACAGCATGGAAGAAACTCGCACTGGACAGCATAAGAGGCTAGGCCCGGTACCGACTCTGGCAAACATGCCTGGCCTATTCTGGGTGATGAACAAGGAATGGACAAGAATGGACCCCGAAAACAGGACGCAGAAACCAACGACGAGGAGTTGACCCTCCGGAAGCTAGACTGCCCACACCCTATTGGACAGCCCTGGTACGGATCTGCCCGGAAATCATGCTGAGAAAAATCGGCAAACCCAAGTCCAGGGAAGAGGTACTGAGACAACCCCTCTTTGGCGATCCGTGGGTGAGAGACGAAAGCAATCACTCGCTTTCTCTCAAACTAGGGAATATGCGTTGGCTTTTCATGGATAAAACACGGAGTATAGAAAATCTGCCACTTGTGGGATGAAGAGAAAAAACATTGGGTAACTGACCAGGAACTGGTCTCTCGCCTCAAGGGCTGTCACCGGCGAGATAGGAACCTGCAGACCATCATCAACTGCATCCCGGACGGCTGGAAAGAGCTGCTAAACAGAACGTCTACATGGAAAACAGGTGAATGGGGAATCGGGATACAGGAGCAGCTCCCCTAGAAAGCCTATCAATTCTCACACAAGAACAGAGATCCAGTACTGTTGCAGTGTTATACCCAAGGTTGCTGTCAGCTCATGGCTCCGCATCTATCGTAGACAAAGACGTGGAAAGAACAAGCCTAGATACTCTCCTCCTCGGGAAAGTGAGAGTCATGGGCTCCTGGCCCAAAACAATCTTCAGAGTGGACACCGCGATTCAGGGCCTGGAATTCAACCCAGCAGAATGGGCCTAGAGACCAGATCTCACAAATCCCATGGAAAAAATTTTAAACGATTAGGCCAGTCAAAATTAGGAGTCCATATTCGAGAATGGGCCAATGGCTTATCGCCTATGTGGCGTTGCCTGTCAATCAATGGCTCCATATTCGAGGATGGAGGTATGACCCGAACAGTTCTGAACTGTGCACAGTCTGTTCAGATAACGAGCCGGAAGACATTCTTCACTGCCTAATACGCTGTAAGGAAGCGACGGAGTACTGGGCCAGGGCATCAGACCTCTGGGACTCCCTTTTCTCAAAGCCCCTTCCTGAAAATCCTATTCAACTTCTACTATGACGGACTAACATTCCGGCTGGTTTTAACAATACGGAAAGGATATGGTTTGGCATGATCAGGAAGGTAACACTATGGTCGATTTGGAAGGAAAGATGCAGCAGGACTATCGAAGGACTATCATCGCCAAGACAAAAGGTGTGGGCGGAGACAAGGACCTTGATCCAGGTGGAGATCGTATGCTGATGGCACAAGACAAGGCACTCCTTGCCTGATGACGAAGACCGGCAACAGAGTATCCTCTCCAAGTTTGTCAATGTTTGGCTGGTGGGAAGGAAATCACAGAGTTAACAGACTTCAACATACGGTGGAAAGACTGCACCCAATGGGTGGTCTAGAGGATCACCAAACCACATAAGGATGATAAAAAGTCCTCCAAGCTACCCAAGAGCAACCTATTTGTCGTTTCTCGGTTTTCCTTGTGTTTCAAAGCTTTAGCTGACAGATTTTCACAGAGGAAATCTGAGAGAATTCAGGGAAAGGCAAGCTGACAGTCAATCCTCCTATCAGGAGTAATCAATGCTGGTCAGGGTTCCTTCGGCCATGTTGTTTTCAATTTTGACTTGCCGGGGGAATAGGAACCGGACTGACGCTCCCCAGAATGGATATGGAGCCAGGACCCTAAGGACCTGTTTAACTAAAAAAAAAAAAAAAAAGAAAGAAAGATAAACAGTGAATGCCTGAACAGACTGACGTGCAAAATGAATAGAGTATTAGAGACAATACAGGACGATTGCTCAACCTTTTCGGACAAATGTCACACAAACCAATTGCTTGACCTGAAGTGGACCTGGGAAGGACAAATGCGGCAAGCTGTTCACATGTTTCTTGCAATTGAACACTCCTTGTGAGTTTCACTTAGTGGGGACTCTGGATCTTGTACCATTTGTGCAAACTACTAAATAGTGATTGCTATTAAATATCATTGACATGTACGAGCATGTGTGAGCTGCATCTGTGTTGAAAATTCAATGGATTCCTGCACTATGACTGCTTTAATTCTGCCCATGGATGGTTGACGTGCAAGACCTTTAATAAAATGCCACTAAAGAGACGTGCAGGACCTTTAATAAAATACTGGAGAGAGTCTAAAGTTCTCAAGGATGACACACCCATTACTGGACCAACATTAATACTGTTCCCTCCTCTTCCCCCACCCCCCCGAAATTGCTGCAAATCTCATCTAATGTACAGGTTTTATGGCTGGTTTGGCTGTCACCATGTTTGGTTAACATGTCAGGGTCTTTTACAAGATTCCTCAGAGGGAGACTGGAGAGAGTCTAAAGTTCTCAAGGACGACACACCTATTATTGGACCAACATTGACACTGTTCCCTCCTCTTCCCCCACCCCCCCCGAAATTGCTGCAAATCTCATCTAATGCACAGGTTTTATGGCTGGTTTGGCTGTCACCATGTTTGGTTAACATGTCAGGGTCTTTTACAAGATTCCTCAGAGGGAGCGGCAGCTGTTAGTTGTCAAGGACTGGCAGCAGTATAAAGACTCGAAAGGTCTTCTTTTCTCATTCCTAGGGCAGACAGCTTTGCCCATAGCTCATCTGGGACCTGATTATTGCGATGATGTCAAGGGAGCACTGGAAACGCTATCCATTCTGCCAAATCCGTCAAATCTTCGTTGTGAAGTTGTGGCAACAGAGAAAACGACTGACATGATCTACACTCTTGACTGGGATAACTGGAGCTCTGATTTCTTTGATGAATTGACGGGACAGCCAGCTCTGCTCACGGCTTTTATGGTGCCACTTGATGATCAGTTGTGGTCAGATCTGCTACAGGATGTTCGAGAGTTTGTCCAGTCCCCTGCAGGACCTCCCAATGAGAAAGCGGAAGTCATTAGGGAACAGGCTTACATCCCAGCTTTTGGTGGGACATTTGACATGTACTTCGATAGCGGAAGCCAAATTGTCCATGATGTTCCGTATACAGCTCAAAATAGGTATATGGGGTCATTCGTTGATAGGCTCACCTTAGCACCAGGTGCATCTGGTAACTTCTACGAGAATAGGTTCAACGCAACTCACATGGTTCGGGACTACGTGATTGATTTTCCGTACGTGAGGAATGACTTCCCACTCATTCAGATAGACACTGCTAACCTCAGAGGTGAAGGCATAGCAGCTGAAACTCAGCGTACAAGGAATCGATCACAGCCCCTGGAGGGATCCATCATGTTGACATTCAGAGGTCGAGGACCTGTGCTGCTTCCATGGGATGCATCAGCAGACCAGATGCTCAGTGTACTTCATTACTTGGCGGGACCAGGCTCAGTGTCAGTCACTGCTTCACAAGCGTGCTGCATGAACAGCTTCTGGGAAATCCGTTTTCTAGGTCCAGAAGTAGGGGGTAATGTGGAGTGCATTGGAGTGTCACAAGGGACCTTCACAGCGCTTTCTGCTGCTTTTGGATGCACAGAAGTGGTGCGGGGAACATTGAACCGTTTCCAAGGGCCTCTAACTGCAGAGCATTTGCGGGTACCAGTGACAGCTCCAATTGTAGCGCATGTCAGAGTCCATGGGATCCCTGGAAGTTGCAGGTAAGGAAGAAAACTCAATTGAAATAAACTGTGTGCCAAATGTTGAAGCCCCTGGAAAAGGCTGGAATTGCTGGAAACTGAGGGTGAGGGAGAGGCCTTAAACCACCAGTACATGGCCCCAGCCAAGTTGAGAACCAGATTGAGCCTCTCCTAAAATTCCGGAGGCTCACGTGCCGAACATCGGCAGCAGGTGGCCTCTGAAAGAGGCTCACGACCGACGTATGGCATGTACTGGTACATGGCCCCAGCCAAGTTGAGAATCCGATTGAGCCTCTCCTAAAATTCCGGAGGCTCGCGCACCATTGATAAAATGCGTCGACAGCGGGCAGCCTCCGAAAGCAGTCCCTGCCGATGTTTGGGATGTACTGTGCTTTAACACCTCCCCTGAGATTACATTATAATGGCCCAAGCAGTTTCCAGTCTTAGAACCTGAAAAAAAATATGCCTTGGTCTGTTTTGCTGAGATGTTGGAGTTTAAGTCTGTTTTGCTGTGTTTCTGAGTTGTGTATTCTGTTTGTGATGTATGTATGCCGTGCAATTGTCTGTTGGGGTGATGTGCTGTGTTTCTGAGCTTGCATCTTGCTGTGTGCCCTGTGTCTACAAGAGTCTATCTGAGTCTGAGTGTCCCATGCGATGTTGTTGTGTCCCAGGAGGGGTAGAGCAGTAAGTTTACAGGGGTAGGATTCAGATTGGACGCCAGACAGACTTAGAGGAGTAAGGAGAGGGGAAAAGTGTGGAAGGTACTCTCACGTAACGAGGACATCTAGAAGGACAAGGTGTGACCACGAGGGCTTCTTCTTCAACTGGCGACAATGGGAAGGAGCTACCCCTAGGACTTCTATCATCATGTGATGTAGTGGTGACTGACTAGTTCAGTACACTATAGGGTCGCTCAGTCCTGTGTAGTGGGGTTTGGATGTAATGCAGATTAGCGAGAGGGAGGTTTGACATATGTAGGGGGGACTGACTAGTTCAGTACACTATAGGGTCGCTCAGTCCTGTATAGTGGGGCTTGGATGTAATGCAGACTTAGAGGAGTAAGGAGAGAGGAAAAGTGTGGAACGTACTCTCACATAATGAGGACATCTAGAAGGACAAGGTGTGACCACGAGGGCTTCTTCTTCAAGTGGCGACAATGGGAAGGAGCTACTACTAGGACTTCTATCATCATGTGATGTAGTGGTGACATATGTAGGAGGGGACTGACTAGTTCAGTACACTATAGGGTCACTCAGTCCTGTATAGTGGGGTTTGGATGTAATGCAGATTAGCGAGAGGGAGGTTTGATATATATATATATATATATGAGTCGGTGAAACTCCGACGAAACAGTTCGTCACAGCCCCTCGTTTGTTGTCCTCTTCTCTCTCTGCAGTTCTATTTGTGACGATGGTTCAGCCTCCTTATGAGTCGGCTGACGAAACAGTTTGTCACAGCCCCTCGTTTGTTGTCCTCTTCTCTCTCTCTGCCTACGGTTTACCGGGCAGTTCTATTTGTGACGATATATACATATATTTCCTGAAATAAGCTATTTTCTATTGGTGGGAAGCAGCACCTGCTGGAAACCGGAACCAGCGTTCCTGAGTCTGCCCCAGGGTGTGTGGTTGCTTGGATGTTATGAATGCTTGGATGGTTGGTGAACATTCTTTGTCTGATTTCACACTGCCTAGCCAAACATTTTTGTTCTCTTCTCTGATTCTCCAGGCTCTCTAAGTCATGTTGCACCAGGGATTCTTTGTGTTGTTTTCATGATGTGCCCGTTTTTTGCTTTTATTCTTTGTTCCGCAAAGTGCGCTCTTTTAGTTTGTAGTGATGTGACAATATATATAGCCCCTCGTTTGTTGTCCTCTTCTCCCTCTCTGCTAAGGTTTACCGGGCAGCTCCCAGAATTGGGCACTCCTCTACCCAGTGCTCCCAGAATTGGGCAATCGGTGGCCTGAACTCATGCGCTTTTAGACACCCATGCAGGGACTGCCTTCGGGGGGTGTCCCATATCCCATTGGAATTATCTGGACTTGCTCCACTGTGTCACTGAGCGCCGCTGTCGCCCATATCATGTCAATCCTACTTCTAGACGTTGTGTTGCCAGAGAACGTGCAGCTCTTTTCTTGCGGGTACAAGGCCCTGTACGCATCCGTGCACCCCAAACCTATCATGCTGTTGACAAGTGCCAGCAAATCTGCGTCCAAATGCCTGGTCGTTGCTGCATCCAGCAGCAGGTCGGCAATGGAGTTATAATCCCCCGTTAAAATGATATTTTCCACATCCGGCACCAATGTCCGCAGCCTTTCCCACAACCTTTACCGTGCACCGATCTCCATCGGACCGTACACCGATCTCCATCGGACCATACACCGTGACCAGCCCCCACACCTCTTTCCCCCACTGAAGGACCACCCATGCCCACCGTCCCCTTGAATCATAGTACCAGTCTCTCACCTCTCCTCTGAAATGGAGGGATACAAGGATACACACCCCTCCCTTCGTACCCTGCGCTGGTGCCCATACCTGGTGGCCCTTCCACCATAGAGCCGGGGTAGCTATCTTTTTCTCAGAAAGCTTGGTCTTCTGCAGGCAGACCACATCAATGTGTTCTGAAGTACTAGTCTCCATGGTCTTCATAATAGAATAAAAAAGAATCCATACTGATCGTGTAAAGCAAAGACCCTTAATACAGGCAATCCTAAGTGTAACGAAGTGAAACGGTATTCACCAATTCGTGGTAGCTGAGGCAGATCCCAGGGCTTGATCCCTAGTTCCCCAACTTACCTGTGTATAATATCTACGTCAACTCGAAGAGTTGAACCTGCG